ATTTTCCCACCGGCTCTTGGGCGTAGTAAAGCCCAGCTGAATAGGCTGTTCTTCGCAGTAATTCAGTCGTTCTTTGAACCTTGGCAGAGACTCTGGATCAAACACTTTGCGCGGCAAAAAGCCATTCGTCTTGTGGTAGTCGTCAAACAGCTTATGCACTCTCAGCGCACGTTTAATCTCACGTAGCACGGCAACGGTACCAGGACCCAGGCCGCCGTCTTTGTCGTGACGCTTGGCAAGCTGCTCGTCAACCCAGGCTTCGCATTCTGCTGCCTCGCGGGCAAAATCGCCGCGGCGGTACATATCCTCATCTCGCACCCAATTGAGCATCTGGTGGGCGCGCACACCCACGGGAGGTTGGAGCTGATTGCGCCATGTGTGCCGATGTAGCATATCTTGGCGGTCGGCGCGAGGAAGGGGAGGCATCCTTCCATTCTTGTCACTGCTGATTCTGAGTGGCGGCTGAGTATTCAATTCGTCGAATGCATCAGGGACTGAGGCCTCATCTTGATCCCAATTAGGAGCAATGTCCAAGTCGGAATCATAGCCGCTGGGCAGCGATCTCGGTGGCGTGTTAGTGAGTCGTCCGCCTTGACCTCTTTGGAGGCCAGTTGGAGACTGTTGAGGTGACTGGCTGCTCCTTTGACGATATCTAGCGATCGCCTCAGTGAAAGCTTCCCTGCTGCGACTTGGGAGCTGCGGTGGATCTTCATCAGCCTGACCTGTCTCGCTTCTACCCTCAGCCTCGGGGTCTGATTCATCTTCATCGCTGTCGTCATTCTCTTCCTCATCCTCATCGTTGCCCTCCTCTTCCTGTGACTCTGCTTGCTGCTCTTCCTCGGAAACTTCAGTAGCGGCTTGCCACGGGTTGTAGGGCACAAAAACATCCCAAATTAACGGGTCGGTGATCTGCCACGACGTAGGTTCGAGGGCAGCATTCTCAAAGCGGCTCGCAATGATGGATGCTATTTGAGGGTCCGAAACTCCACGAGCTTGGTGAGAGTCGAAGAACTCGCCCCAGAAGCTGCGCACATTCTGGTCGTCTGAGCGTGGATAGGCTGTTCTGAGGTTCTGGACAAATTCCGCATCGAGGGGTCTCGTCCCAGTAAATGTGAAGTTCCTCTGTTGCGCGCGCTGGTAGTTTTGCTCTGACATGGTCAAGGAAAGCTGCAACCGGTTGTCGGCAAGTGTGTGGCATGAACGTGAGACGTTGAGGGTGAGGAAGGCTGGTGCAGAGTGCCAGAGTTGCAGCTAGGAACAACTAGATTTCGCAACGAGGCTGCAACAAGAGCGCGGTGTCGAGAGGCTGGAGCCTGGGAGCTTGAGAGCTTGAGGCAAAAGGAGAAGGAACGGACGGGTAGGAGCAGCAGAGGAAGGAGGAGAGGATGCGCCTTCTCCCCCAGGCAGACCAAGCTTTGTCCACTCTTGTGAAGCTGACCAGCCTTCCGTCATGTGCCGCCAAAACAAAAAAAAAAACACAATGCCTGTGTATATCTTTCTCTTTTCTTTGTTTTCTTTTGTGCTTCTGTTCTTCCTCTCCCCTCTTCTCCTCTTCCTTCTTCACAAGAAAAAGTTCGAGAAAGTTTTTCCTCCGTCCGGCGTACGCGCACTGTCGGGGAGACAGAAACAACATGAAAACAAGAGAACAAGAAGTACTTCGCCAGATGCTTTCGGAATGGCTTCTTCGATCACAAAGAAGCCGGGCAGGCTGAATCAATGGTAGTGAGTGGCTATCAAAGAAACGCGTTACTAAAATGTCCTTTCGTTCCTGGGCCAAAAAGTCGCCGTTGTCTTTGTTCTTCTGGCAATTGTGAGCCCACAGAGGCGCAGCGATGCAGCCACCGTCAGTTTCTGTTCGAGGTTTGCAGTCAGTTGCATTTTCATTGACATGACAGTTAGTAACAATGAGGCGAGCGTGACGGATCAGCCAAGTATACCATTGACCCGTTCGCAAGTGGCTGGGCTCCTCAATGATCTCGAAAGACTTCTACAGTCCGCGTGCCCTCGATGAGCCATCGTCCTTCTTGAACAGAGAACCAAGATCCTCAAAATGAACTTCACACAGCCTCAGACTAGCGACGACCAGCCGCAAGCCGGTTCCACAAGTTACCAAACCCCGTCTTCCGTGGAACTTGCATCAGACTTACCTTCATCCGAGCAATCAAGTTCGGGTCTGAGGGAGAGTAAGGATCGAGAGCGACAACGCGAGGCACAGGCTGCCTTTGCAATCAACGCAGAGGTGGCAGCCCTAAGTCCACGCACTTCCCAAAACGCTTGGGGAGGAAACAGAGCCTTTTCATTCAGCCAACTCAGGGCCAATGCAACGACAATGCCACGTATGTTCAGAGACTCTTCCGCAACATCGACTCATCGTCCCGAAGAGCCATCGAATGTTCATACCGTTGAGCAACAGCCGCCAGCAATTGACGCGAACACGGATTCCGTTTGGGAGCCTTCGCTGGCACTTGGCTGCATCGACGTGCCCAATCTCAGCGCCAGGGAGGCTGCACGGCGGCATATGCTGCAATGGGAGCATATCTATACCTATAACCGCACGAACCGCCCATTGGCTGCTTTGCATACTATCTCTGAGCGCCTTGCTTCTGCGAGGAGTGTTTATGAGCAACTTTGTGGCGTGAGCGAGTTGGATCAGCACGCTGAAGACAACTTGCCACTGGTGCAACGGCCTTCGCACCAGCAAGAGCAAATCCAACGCCGAGTAGCTCTCTTGGAGAGGACTTTGCTTGCATACACCAGTGGAGAGTTTGATGCCATGCGAAGCAACATCACGGCTGCGCTGGAGGGTTATCAGAGTGGACGCATTGGGTTTTCTGGCTATTTTACCTTGATCTATGCAGGGCGTATAGTTGACTCCGGGACATGTAGGAGCTGGGCTGATTTCACGATTGATAGACAGGAGAGGCTGGATCGATACTGTGCACAATATGGCGAGGGCTATCTTTGGTGGGAGCCGCCGTTGCTCGCTGCGAACGGTAGTGGTGGAGAGGCTGAAGGAGCACGTATGTTGGCCAAGAAATGTGCCACACTCAGCATCTCGCGAGATGATACGAGGCTTCCTGTGCAAGATTCTTCTGGAAGAATTTTCCGCGATGGAGCATGCCACTATAAAGTGCCGTTGGGATTCAAGAAGGATGATAATCTGCGACGTCGTCAGCGAGTCGATGTGAAGATTGATTCTCAAGGATGGTCACCGCAAGGCGATGACCACAAGAAGCAACCGAGTGGTGGCAAAGAAACTCAGGCAGAAGCAAGATTGCGCCGCAAGAGAGCTCGGGACGATAGGAAGGACATCATACCAGCCCAGCCTGCACCCTCAACCAGGAAACGACGCATCCCGGCATCCATACCTCATGCCAGTGCCCTTATGCAACAGTCTACGAAGACATTGTCTGCGACCGAGGGAGTAAAGACACCTGCTGCAGCAAGCACACAGACAGGGACAGTGGCAGACAAAGAAGCGCAGGAAGCTCGAAAAAGAGAAGAAGCCAACGACAGTGGGCCGACCATATTCTTCGATATGATCCTCGATAGCGGCGCCGAACTGCCACTCCTCCTTCACGACGATCTGAAACTACTAGGCTTCAACTCGAAGGACATGAACGCCGCGACCGTGATTGAGCTCGACTGTGTAGGCGGCCTCAAAGGCGAGTCTCTCACGTTCGAACTCCTTGCAGGTCTCGAACTGCATGACCGACCTACCAACAACGCAGCAGGAGGCTCCTCCTCATCGGCTGCTGCTGCTTCTTCATCTTCAGCAGCAATTCACCACCACATCCGCTCCCCAGAATCGCACTTTTTTCCTACGCGCGTGCTGATGCTAGGCCCTGACGTCAAAGCGCCGCCCTTTGGAGGCTTCAGCAACAATCGGCTTTCAGGAATGCTGCCCTTCTTGGCGTACTATACGGCGTCCGCGCCAGGCAATGGAAAAATGTCACTGGGAGAGGAGAGAGCAGAGGTACTCGGAAAACGGAACTTCCCTTTCGGACAGCGCTATCATGCATTTCGCAACGGACACGGTGACGATGATGCAGGAAAGCAGCAACAGCAGCACATGGCCAAGATAGAAAACGCAGTGGCAAAGATCGGCGGATCGCACTTGGGCATGCAGCAAGTGACATTTAAATATGCCATGGAAAGCGGGCATGTTCTGTTGGAGCAAGACACGTTCAGTGATGATGGAAGAAGTATTAAGACGGCAATGGCCCTGACAGAAAGTGATGGGACAGTCATTCGAGTGTTTCAATGTGTGCCGTCCAAAAAGGTTTGAAGAGAGGCCGCACTGCTCTAGATTTCATCATAATGTTGACGGATTCATAATCAAAGATTGTCGGGACACACGCACATACGACCATACCTAGTGGAAAACTTGGGATCCCGTCCGCTCTCCCCTAAATAAGCCACTAAGGGCCGGATTAGTAGTTAAGTGGGTGACCATTAGCGAATACCCGGTGTTGTATGTTTTTGTTTTTAACTTATTGTTGTAGTGAGATATTCCAGTAATGCTAACTCCCACTGACATTGTTCACAAAATACCTCTGGTCATGCATGATGTTGATGTTGGCAAAAGTTCAAAAGCCGCTTTTATGTGGCATATGTTTTTTGATATACGTATTCACCAGTTCACTGAAGTGACACTGCAAAAGGCATCGCTTCTCTTGGACTATTACTGTGAATGATGCTCGATCCAGCCCCCAATACTGAGTCTGTTGAAAATCTACTGTGCTCTGTGGCTTTGTCCAGCGTCTTTTACACCAAAAGTTCTGAGCCGTTTAATTTGCGCGACGATGAATTTGTTGGACTGCAGAAACAGGTATGCTTACATAAGCTACATCAGCCCTAACCAGCCCTGTGTCCCCTATACCGAACACAAAAGCAATGCAATCCTAGAATCCACCACGTAGTGGAGCTCCCATTACAATATGGATTCTCCGGCCTTGCAAAAAGGCGAAAAAAGGTAATTCATCATGCGACGGGAATTGAGCCCGACGTGGGGGTCGAACCCACAGCCTTGAGATATTTCAGAGTTCGAAGACTCGTAAGAGTCTCACGCTCTACCGATTGAGCTAGCCAGGCGGCTTATTATTGTTTGACCTGGAAATTTTGTTATCTTATGTAGAAAATCATGGCTCAATAGTCGCATCTGAAGCGGAGAATGGAGATGAGAGTGGCTTTTTGAGGCTGTTGGCTTTAGCCAAGTACAGAGCCGTCACAGAGAGAAGAAGGCTTCTGAAAGAAGTCCATGATGTTGCTGTTATTTGAGACGCTCAAGGGGTAGCTGAGCGAACGTATTGTCGTCGCCCCATGTCGTGTTATTGTTCTCGTTGGCGTTTTTTAGATTTTCCGCGAAAGACCAGATTAATCCGTCCATCCAACCATCATTTATTGAAAGTTACAGATGGACTACGGCATAGCCCAAGGTCAAGCAGAAGTTCTTTACCGCCTCTTTGGATCAATGTAACTCCCTTCGGCAAGGCCTGCCAGCAGTGCCAACCAAAAGACCATCCAATTCGACAAACTTCACGCTTTGCAGCACACGTCAAAAGTTAATCACATCCTCCACCAAAGGAGAAACTAAAATACCAGTACCCTTTGAATTCAAGCCAAGATCAAATCACCACAGTACATTCTGATCACATGCAAGCCATCTACTTTGCCATCCATTTCCAAAACCCAGTCCGTTCAAATTCCCCAGCCACCGCAAAGTCCCAGCGTGAGAAACCAACCCCTTGGAACCGGACCTCGGGACCCCCTGGCGACAAATATTCCTCTGCTGTCCCAAGCTTCTCAGCCAATCAAAGGTCTCCCTTGGCACCAAAACTTCCGCTTTGGGAAGGTCCCGAGCTCCTTTGTTGGTACTGTTACTGTTAGCGACTTGTGCATCCAAAGGTCAAATCTAAGCATCAAAAGAACTCGGCTTGACAGCACTGTGTACATAAGTAGTGAACGACAAAGACTTCATCCAGTCGTGCATGCACCACTCAGACCGCTGTGGATAAATCAATCGATCAATAAAAATTGTCAGGTTGGCTTTTCCCAAAGCAATCAAATGCTCATGCAGGTAAGCGAAACCAGTACCGCTATTTTCAGTAAGTTCTTGGTAACAATTCACAACCTTGCAAATAAAAACAACCAACCAATTCAGGAGGCCAGTGACCGCTCACATTCAACACTGACACTGACGCTAAATCTGACACTGACACCCAGCAACTCTCATTCTTTTTCACGTTAAATCTCTCTCTCTCCCGGCTTCCCGAGCCTGACCACACAACCAACATAGAAGTACGTTCCCAATTCGGGAGTGAACCGCCGAGCCACACAAAGTCCATGCTTACTCAATTGAGCATCCCATCCATCCCCTCGAGCCGAAAGCACCTACCCATTCATCTCCCCACTGCCACTGCCACTGAAATGCCACTGCAAACCCTGTGGTGTTCATCATCTTGGCTTGACCCCCTGGCAAACAGCACCAAGCACCGCCCCCTTCCCCTCCCCCCCCCCCTCTCCAAGGGGCAAAGGGGACCCAGTTCCAATCTCCGACCCGTTCAACTTTGCCTCATTACAAACACTGTACTTCTTCCATTGTTCCACCCTTTAACAAGCCAAGAATGAAGAAGAAACAACGGAGGTATGAGACAGTAACATCAGTCACAGGAAGAGTCAATCAATGTGATCCCATGAGCAACGATCGCTGCAATTTGACCAGTATTCTTCGAGATCATCAACTTCCCCCAACTACGGTTATGTATATCAATCTCCAGTTGTGGTTTTTTATGCTATTCTTGGATATTACCGTTAGCCACGGGTGATGTGTGCATTATGGACATTTCGATTGCAGATAACTGGATGCTTTCTTAAGAAGACCGAGGAGGCAATGAAATGTAGTACTCCCAATCTCGTCTGGTGAGCAGTGGACTGGACTATGACATACAATATTTCCAGCCAAGCTCGCTGCCCTGACGTGAATTGGGCTGGAAACTTGAACGCAAACAACATGAGATTCATCCGATTCATCCGATTCATCCGATTCCCACAAAACGCTTGAAAACGGAGAGGAGACTTTTGACAATAGGAGCAATATTGCTTTTCTACCTCGTCATTTTCGATATGAAATCTCTTACTACAGTATCGAATAATCACCGATTCCAAAGCAAATCGTGAATTACTTATGGATGAAACTCCAATGCTTCCGCCTGCTCATATCAAATGGCAAAATAAATCAACGGTCATCTTCATAATCAGCACGCAATTAAGCGTTGAGTTTCAAGAGTAAATTGGTATCAATTTTCATCCTATATTGTATCTCTTGTTTCCTACGATGCTTACCAAGGGCTGAGTGACCCAACCTCCAAAATCATTGATTTCGGGGAACGCTTTGGGCTTAACCTTGTATATCTTGGAAGCTCAAACTCACTCTATTCATCCGTATTACTATCACCCATAGCGGCGGAATGTGTCTGCACGCACAATATCGAGCAATTTTTTAAGCAGCCCAATCCAATAGCATCCCAAGATAGAAAAACTCCCACAAGTATTCGCCAGTGTCATTCATCCCTCAGCGGGTGTAGTTTAGGTTCTGCTTCCTTAAGACCTCTCACGGCTCGTAATGACTAACAATGCCATTCACCAGCGCACATGTCCCTTGCTCTTTGCATGGAACTCGGTCAAGAAATTCCTTTTTTTTTGTTTTTGGTACGACGATTCAACTTTTTTTTGGGTGTGTTTTGGTTTTTGCTTTCGAAAGAAATGCTTGAGGGGGTATGGGTATAACGACCTGCCAGACAAGTACCCCCAATGTAAGGCAGGCCTGTTGTAGTACTTTTTCAAAATATAAAAATATTTGGGCATGCCATTCCGAAAAGAAGTCTTTAAAACAAGAAATGAAAGTAATGTGTAGTCAGGCCAAACCAAAATTCGCTAAATGCCATGATCGCTGATAACCAGATGCAGTCTCTTGTTCTTTTTTTGTGAGTCGTCCGTCTTTGAAGTGGGATTGATACACTTGAAAATGCCTAGTGGAAAGATGCAACAGCCCGTGCCCGTCGCTCGACGTAGGACACAAGGCAAGAGTACAGTGAAGTGAAACTGGAGAATAAAAATAAAAAAGGCCAGGGCCAATGAGAGTAAAACAGTCCAGTATATTATTGACTTTCCACGGCACTATGTTGGCCCTCAAAATAGCTCACAAAATGTGACACCCCTTGTGATGGTGCTCTTGTGAAGGTAGTTGAAGAAGGTGTAGGCGTCACAGGGCATCTTGGAGGCGCTTGGTTGTATGCGTCACTCTGACCGTTCACCGCAAAAGAGGAACCATCAGGAGTGATGGGTGGTGTCATGTATCCCGGGGCAGCACCTGGAGCGGATCCATGGCCTTTGTGCGGCGTGCTATATATGTCGCTGGCCTTGGTTGCGGAGCTGAACTCGGCAGGAGGTGTGGCTGGGCCGTTGACCTGAGGCTTAGCGATAGCAGCCTGTTGTGTCAAGAAGTCGGCCAGCTTGGTTGAGACGCGGGAAAAGTGGTTCGAAGAGTACTTGCGAGACAGGGTGACGGATGGCTGATGCAGGTGTTGCGAAAGAGTCAACAACGTGTCCCGAGCATCACGGTCCCACTCGCCATCGTTCACCTCGGGCCGGCCCAGGATGGCCCGGGCAAGGGCGTGCGAAGCGCGAGCCATGGTAGAGGGCTTGGTCGACACAAAGTCGCGGTGGTAGAGGGCGATCTCGCAAATGTAAGCCGTCATGTCGCGGACTTCACGGTCGTCCTGCTCGTCAGCCCAGATGATGGACTGGAAGAAGTCGACGGTGGGGTGGCCAATGTTCCACTCCAGGGTGTTGAGGACGTGCATCTCCATCTGCGTAAACATGCCTGCGTCGTAAAGACCGCAGCACATGTTGTTGAGCTCGTTGATTTGTGGCACACGGTCCTTCTTGTCACCGTACTTGGCGGCAATCAAGAGTGCTGCACAGCCAACGAGCTGGTAATGTTGCTTGTAGACAACCCGCTTCGAGCAGTATCGGTCGAGTAGATTGATGGTCAGGAAAAGTGTTTCCCGCAACAGCGAAAAGGCAGCGTGAGCCTCGATCAAGAAATCGATAAGGTATGGTCGCATGAACCATTGGATCTCACGCTGCATGTCGATAAGGTTGGCATCAGGAAGAGTCTCGTCCTGTTGCAACATCGTCAGTTTGTGTCACCGCCAGAGCGATTGCCACTCAATAAAGTTTCAAAATCCAGGGGCGACTCACCTCCATGGCCCGGGCGTGTTGCATGATGTCCTCCAAGTACTCGTCGCTGACCAGCCTTGACAGCTCGTTGGCGATTGTTATTTGCCTGTCGACCTTGGCATCCCATTTCCTTGCGTGAACAGCATTTCTGGCAGATTCTGCGGAAAAAGGGTTGCTGGGTCTTGTGCACTCGGAGTCGAAGACCTCCTCGATTTGCATCTTGCTTTGGGACGACATGATGAAGATTGTGTGAGAGGTTGCTGATGATAGAAAAGTCCGCTGATGAGGTTCTCCAGAGAACTTCGCTTTGGATTGTCGTTAAGGAGATTCGGTTGGGAAGTGTCCGAACAAGAGAAACTGAACGGGTTCAAGTGTGGAGTAGTGAATGTCGGTAACGCCTGAATAGTCTGGAATGAGCAATTCGGCTGGAATTAATTAGTATTATTACAAGAATGGTGATTGTAACGATTGTCTGGTTGAAGATGGAGAAAAAAATAGTGAAAAGGGAAGGAAAAAAAGAATGTCGAGAGTCGGTGTGGTTGTTTGGGGGTAAGGAATGGACACTGGCCAAATGCCAAGATGGAAGAGAGGATGAGTTGCGGATGGGAGATGGGGAGAGGAGGTCGAGGTTGAGATGGGAGGCTGTGGATGGGAGATGGAGAGAAGAGGGATGTGGAAAAAGAGTCGGGAGAGCAGCCAAGAGAGAGGCCAGCAGCGGTCAGGTCGGGTTAGATGAATGGGATTGAATGGGTGGCCGGGAGCACAGGCCGCCTTTAAAAGTGGACTGGCAAGACTGGCCTGTCGACAGGGCTGCTGCAGGGTGGACTGTGCTGTACGCTGCAACTGCACGG